TGGTCTGATGAGTTTGGGCCTGAAGTATGACATTTAAGAATTTAAAAACTGTTTTTTTCGCCATTTGAGAGAGAGCAGGACCAAGGTAAACAGACCTTTACTGGGGACACGGAAGGGCCTCAGAATCTTTAAGAACAATCACCGCCTTTTATCTGAAACCTAACAGAGGTGGAGCTAAAGGGGCAGGTAGAATGATGCACTGACAGCCGCTAGGAGGAGCCTCTGCGCATGCGCCAAGAGCGAGCGCTTTGACTAGTGGGTTTGCGAAATTAACACAAGGGGGTGCTGTCCAGCACCCAAGGCCTCTCCTATGTGGGGAAAAAACCTATCAAAAACTACTCAACCTCTGTAAGAACCCACCATCTTTCCTTGTTGTTGTTTTTGTTTTTGCCTGGGTCTTGTTACATAGTCCAGGCTGGCTTTGAACTTCCTATGTTGGGTTGGGCAGACTGACCTCGAACTTGCTGCAATCTTCCTGTCTCAGCCTCCCAAGTGCTGGGATTTCACATGTATGGCATCATGCCTAGCATCTAGAATCTTTCTTGAGGGCAGATATGCTGCTTTCTGGGCACTCTGGGTAACAGAAAGGCTACTGGGAACTGGCCAGGGAGAGATCAGTGGGTATACTGCGGGGAAACCCTTTATGAGAAGCCATTTTATTGCTTCCAAGGCCAAACATATGAGTGGGAAACTGTAAAGGGGTACTGTAAAAAGGCTCTGCTTTCCAAACAGGGCTACGAGAAGCTGTTGTATAAGAATAGCAATCTCTTGCTGGGCACAGTGACTCATGCCTGTAATTCCAGTACTTTGAGGGGCTGAGGCAGGAGGGTCAAGACCAGCAATTTAGCAAGGTACACACACTTCAGGAACAGAAAAATGGTAATGTTTTTTCAACAGGTGGTGGTACCCTCATATGGGGAACCCTAGAGGATGTTGTAGGTCACAGAAAACCTACTATGCTGCTAACCCTTAGAGAAGAAATTGAAAATGCATGTGCAGGGGCTGAGAATTTAGCTCAGTGGCATAAGCACCTGCCTTGCAAGCAGGCGGTCGTAAGTTCGATCCCTGGTACTGATAAAAAAAGAAAAAAAGAAAATACATGTGGAGCAATCTCAGTGATCAAGGCGACCCAAGCAGCAGGTTAGCTTACTAACAGTCTGGAAGCTCAGCCACTACTTCGAGCACCTCTTGTAACTGTAGAAGCCATAGGTAACTTTTTAAATCTCACAGTGTCACAACAAATTTAGTATTAAAATATGTACACATATTTCTTTTCCTTAAATATATGTAAAGAAATAAATGGCCTCTGATGTAGCACAGTGCAAAAGCCCTGGGCTCAATCACCAATACTACCAAAAAAAAAAAAAAAAAAAAAAAAAAAAGCTGGACAAGATGGCGTATACTCGTAATCCCAGCACTAGGGAGGCTGAGACAGGAGGATGACCACAAGTTTGAGGCCAGGCAGAACTACATAGCAAGACACTTTCAAAAAGAAAGAAAGAAAGAAAGAAAGAAAGAAAGAAAGAAAGAAAATAAGAAAGCAATCCTTGATCTCAGTAAGTATGACCTAGTGACTAATGTCAAACACTTTCCCTTATGCTGAGACTACAATAGGGACTGGGCAGAGACGGCAGATGCTGCTCTTGCTTCCAGAATTGTACCCTTGGGTTGGGCAAGTGAAACACAAGTGCACAAATGAGTACGTAATTCCCGTGGAATGCAGAGTGACACAGTTAAAATGGGGCGAGCACATGAGCGGTGAACAGGACCGGCGGGTTGTCTATCTTTAGGTGAAGGACCCTGGGCTGCTGGACAGTCAGCCTCGCTCCCCGCCTGGAGCTGTGGCAGCTGGAGAGGAGCCGCCCGCTCGGCCGCGCAGCCCCACACAGCCCAGGCGCCTCCGCAAAGCCCTGCGCCCTGCACCAGGCAACGCCCGGGCTGTGTCAGCACACTGAGTCTGCGGGAACGCGGTGCTGAAAAAGCGGCGTAAAAGCCCTCGGGACAAAATAGCAATAATAAAACAGTAAAGGAAACATATCCTTTCCTGGTGATCACAGTCAGACAATGTAATTTTATTTAATTTAGCCTTATTAGGAGATAGTTTACCCCTCACTCTGCACATGCCTGACTCACTCTGAACTGTGACTTCACTACACGGAATGAAATATATGAAATATTTCTGAAGAAACGCAGGACGTCGTGACACAGCAGAGCCAAGAGCCAGAGGCCCTTCTTTGGCATTTTAAAGTTAGACCCTTCAAGATGGTCACAGTTATAAATATGGATAGCGTTCTCCCCACGTGATGTCAACTCTGAATAAAATAACTACATGGGGTGAGTTGGACACAGTGGTTCAACACGTCTCAGTCCCAGCTCAGGGAGACTGAGGCAGGAGGGTAGTTTAAACGATGAATTCTAGACCACCTTGGGCAACACAGACAGATCTATTACAAAAAAAGAGAGCGAGAGAAAACGAGAAAGACTAAAAGATCTAGAGCGAGTTAGCTCCTGGGTCCTCTGGTCTGTAAGCCTCTCGAATAGCTCCTCAGACAGCTCCTGCATTCAGTCCGGTAGGGCTGTAGGAACCCAGGGTGTGGCTGGGCTTCTTCCTTCCAGGCTGTCCTTGCACAAACACCAGGAAACCAGCAGGGGAGGCTGTGGAGGCTGCAGAGAACACAAAAGGGAGGCCGACAGGCAGGCAGGCAGACTGTGAGTGTGACAAACCTGCCTGCCTCGGCCTGAGGGAAAGCTGCTAAGCGCGAGGCCCCAGTTAACAGGCCCAGGAAGTGGCCTGGAATCCACAGGGGAGTACTGTGGGGCGGAGTCTGGCCCCTGATAGGTCTGAGGACGGGGGAGAGGGGGAAGGACTGGCCGGCGGTGGCTGAAAAGATAAGAAGTATAAAATATAAGTAACCTTTATTTCGGGAATGCGGGGAAAGACACCCCTGGCCCGCCGGGGCTCAGCATCTCCACCCCGGGGCTGGCGATCTCTCTGTGGAACACGTGGTGTGAGGCACATAAGTAGCCTCGGCCTGGGGTATTAGGGATGCACAGGTAGCCCATTGGTCTTAGTTTGGCACCAGAGGTAGGTTTCTAAGGGTATAGGGTTACAGGTAAATCGGGTTACAGGTAAATCTCTAGGGGCGGGGGAGGCAGGAGCTCCCTAATTCCGGCTGAGGCTTTTTCTGGCTATAGTGTCCGGTCTGGGCCAGCCACCCTTTCAGCCTCTCAGCCATGGGTGCTGAAGGCAAATCCAGCTCCTCCTGAGGTTTTGTTTCTTTTGGTTTGTTTTAGTTTGGGTTTTTAGGCATAAGGACCGAACCTAGGGCCTTTAGAGGCAACTACCTTCTCAGTCCTTTTTTTGACACTGGATTTTGCTAAATTAGTCAATGAAACAGTTTGGCCCATTCTGGATACTGTAGCTGGAAAAACCTCAGGTGGAACCAAGGAGTTCCATCTCCCCCACCCCTAGGAATTTACCTATGGCTGCCAAACAAAGACCCACGGGCTACCTGCACATCCCTAATGCCCCCTTAGGTTCCACCCCAAACTGAGGCTACTTATATGCCTCCACTCCATGTGTTCCATGGAGAGATTGGCGACCCTGGGGGGAGATGCCGTGACCCAGGGGATCGGGGCTGTCTCTCCCCACATTCTCAAAATAAAGGTCATTTATATTTCATACTTATCTTTTCAGCCACCACTGGTCCCCCACAGTTCTATCAGTAAATTGCCTAGGTTGGGCTCAATTTTACTGTCCTCCAGCCTCAGCCTCCCAGAGTGTCGGGATTACAGGGGTGCTCCACCATACCCGACTTTTTTGTTTTTGGCAAGAGGACTAAATGTGTCGCTCAGACTGGTCTCAAACTCCCAGCCCTGACTCAGGCTTGCAGTGCTAGCAGACTTTTTTTCAGTAACTAGATTGACCCCAGGCCTTCCACATGCTCTACAAGTCCTCTATTGCTGTGCTTGTACCCAGCCCTTTTCTTTCTAACTTTTATTGTTTGCAGTACTAGAGATTGAACCCAGGGCCTTCTTGCTAAATTCCCTAAGCAGGACTAGAATTCAGATTCTTCTGCCTCAGCCTCCCATGTAGCTGGGATTGCAGATGCACACTGCCTGGCCAGGGTCCTCCCTGGGACATATATTCCTGAAAATAAAGCATAAGAAGTAGAAATCAGGAAGAAGAAGAGGAGGAGGAGGAGGAGGAGGAAGAAGAGGAAGAGAAGGAAAAAGAGGAGGAAGAGGAAGAAGAGGAAGAGACAAAGTAAAAACCCATTGCTTTCTATGACACTCCACTCTGTGGACCTAATGTCACCTAATGTTGGTCTGTTATTTATTTATTTTGGCTTTTTGAGATAAGACCTCACTAAGCAGCCCAGGCTGGCCTCCAACACACAACATATCCTGCCTCAGCCCTGAGAGCTGAGATTATAGGCATGTGTCATTATGCCTACTTCTAATATCACTGACTGCACTGAATTGGGAATGGGAAAATTCTGGAAATCATCAATTCCGTGACGATTTTAAGTTTCAATAGAGGAAAATAAAAACCAGTTTAAATGGAATATTCCAAGCCAGGGATTTAGCTCAGCAGCATAAGCACCTGCCTGGCAAGTTCAGGGTCATGAGTTTGATCCCTGGTACCAAAAATTAAAAAATAAAATCACCATAAATAATATATTCTTTATTCAAAATCATCCAAACCCCCCCCCCAACTTTTTGAGACAGGGTCTTGTTATATAGTAAAAATTGGCCTAGAACTCACCACTGTGTAGCCCAGGCCAGCTTCCAACTCAGAGATCCTCCTGCCTCAGCTTCCTGAGTGCTGGAATTACAGGTGTGCACTACCATGCCTGGCTTTCAAAATCATATTGTGAAAGACTTAGAGAATAAAAAGATGATATGCATCTAATCTATTTAATTTCTTAAGTAAATAAAAATCAAACTGGAAGATCAGTTCATTAAACTTAAAGAATGAAATGCTCTCAGGGGTTTTATCTAAATTTTTATTTATTTTTAGTTACAAAAAAGACATGCATGTTGGAAAAATTCAAATTTAGGAATATGTAAATATGTAAATAGACCTTCTACTTTCCAGCAGTAACACAGGATCTGCAGACACTGCCATCAGGTTGAAACGTTGTTGGAAAAAACCGAAAACCAGCGGGGAAGAAAAACTGGACTCCTCTGTCTTAGAAACAGAGGTGCTCTGGACAGTTAGTGGTATGATACCTGTTTTCACTGGCAGCTTTGATCCTCCTTTGTTCGCAAGAAGACTGACTTAGTGTGATCTGTAACACGTCCTCTGATAGAAACAGGCAAACTCTCTGGCACCATAATTGGATAAAGATAAGAAAAAATGTCTGAGGCCCAGGAAGGTATGGGTTATAAACAAGGAATATTCTGCCGACAAAAATTGCTGTGTCTGGCAGTTATGCTGCCACAGCCCATCAGTCCCTTTTCCCCCAGGAAAGTCATGCTCTGATGCTCACCCCCAGGCTGCAGTCCCGTGTGTCATCTCCCTACCCTTTCTTCTAAGAAATCAGGGTGAACTTGCCCATGCCTTTCACAGAGGCGGCAGCCCTGGAAACACAGCGTACTGGGGCTGTCCCCACCGCCCACTGATTCTACTGCAGTAGGGCCTCTGGCCATGAGGGTGACCCAGCAGGCTGGGGACTTTCTGCTGTGCCAGTTCAAGTGTTCTGCAAACACTAGGTAAGATCAATAGTCACTGCTGGCTGCTCAAAAGTCATCATCGCTGCTATCAAAATGCAGGTGATACAGTAAATTCTTCTCTGCCTCCTTACACAGAGCATTCTCTGAGCCTTCCGGGTTGAGGCTGCTGAACCAGCTCATCTGGTGGTCTCCCTGGAAACTGCTGGAAAGGAACCTGCTTCTCTTGGAAGGGCACATGGTGAGCTGTAAGGTGCCCCCTCTTACTGCCCTTGCTGTCTTCCTGGGCTTGACCCTGCCTCCTGGAGTGGGACAATCTGATTTTGGGGAGCTTCTAGGAGTCTGCACACACAGGGCCTGAGCAAGAAGCTCTTGCTGCCCTGCTGGGGGCCTTTGCTTGCTGGAGACTGGAGACTGGGGACGCTGGTACTTAGTGTTAGGGGCACAGGTCTTGCGTGGGGTCTGCGCTGGCTTCCTAGGCAGGTGCCTGTCCCTGCGGGCCTTCATGGGCTGCCGTTTCTTTCCTTTCTTCGCTGTTTCTGCACTCTTGCCTTTCTGTTCAGTTGCCAGCTGTTCACATGAGTCACAAAGAACGATGCCTTGGCTGTGATATTCTGGGCAGGCGCTCTGAATGCTGTTTGCCGTGTTGTTTAAGTCCAGGGATGTGAACTGTGTGTCTCTCTGGGAAGCCAGGTCTCCATCAGCATGTACTTGGTGACCTGGGATGCCGGGGCCAACATGGTTCTTAGGACTTCCGGCCGTATCCTGGCAGTTAGTCTGTACCGCCTTGTCCTGGACTTGCCCATTTCCTTTGCAAGGCTCACTTGCTGGCAGTGCAGCCTTCTCCTGGAAATAATCAGCCCAGACACCAAACTCCTCAGGCATCAGGGAGCCTGCCTTGGGGTTCCTTGCAGCAGGGGCGGCCTGGGTCTGTCCTATAACTGGCTCTTCCAGGGGGAGCTTTTTCTGATTGATGAAACGGAGGCTCTGGGCCAGAGGTGGTGACGTCTGAGAAGCGTTATCTTTCTTGTGGTCAAGTACCCGAGGTGCCAGGAGCAGTCTCTTCAGCTCTGCAAGGATGTCAGGCACGTACAGCTGGCCTAATTGCTCACACAACTGCTTGAAGTCCTTACTCTGCTGGACAACTAAAACCTCAAGACGCTCCAGGCTGGATTTCATTTCTATAAACTCTGTTTGTTTCTGCAGAGAAGCAGTGAGAAAGCAGATAATGGGCAGTGCAAGGCAAAAGGTACAATAAAATGTGACCGCAATCAGCGGACACCTCTCAGGGCAAGCACAGTTACACTATGGAGAAGGCACTGGGGCTGCACTCTGCTGGGAACCCCTGGGGGGCCGACCTGTACCCTGGCTCATTCCCAAGGCCCTTGTGCTAACCTCTGGTCTTGGCTGAAAATGTGCAACTTTCTGCTCTAAAGGGTATAACTGCGTGTATATTTAAGTGTATAAGATAGATAACCATATTACTGAGTTTTGTTGGATCATTGAACAGAACTGTTTGCAGTGTCACTGTTCGAATGTCCACTTTATATGCTTTAATTTTGTAACTTGCACAACTATTTCTAAGATGACAATATGTAATCTATTAACTAGTGATTTCCTCCTGTTTTTCTGAAATTCTGTATAACTTGTACCCTTTTTCTGTTTTTTTTTTTTCTTTTTCTCCTTAAATAAAATTAAAAAAAAAAAAAGAAAATGTGCAACTTTCAGCTGTCCTTCTGGATCTGAGGTACAAAGCCAAAAATAAACTTAAAGAATCTGGGATTTATACTCACAGCTTCAAACTTCTTCTGCATCTCAAGGATGGCCTGCCCTGCACTGCCTTTCTCTTGTATTGCCTCAAACCTCATGTCACTCTGGGCGCGTGCAGTTTCTTGCACTAAATACAGAAGACAACAACCATTTACTCCGGGAGGGTTGCAGTGTATCCCCCTGCCCAGAACAGTGGCGGAAAAGGGGAAGAGACACTGGCATGGACTCCTTGAGCCTTCTCTCCTAGCACCCTGGACTCTGTCCTCCCCAGCTAGAGCTGCTTCTTCATGGCTTCTTTTTCTTTTTTCTTCCTGAGACGATCCTGGCTGGCATCAGTACCTGCTAGGGACCTTGAGAATCTGCCACGTGGGTCAAAGGGCAGGACCACGCCCCTTAGCCTTCCTTCCTGGGTCTGTTATCAGCGTGATCTCTGCAGCATGTGGACCCCCAAATCCTCACTGGTTCAATGGCATCCCACTGGCCACAGAACAAAGTCCAAAATTTTTCTTTTGTACTGGAAATTGAACCCAGCACCTCTATGCTAGGCTATATCTCCAACCTTTATTTTTGCAGGCAGGGTCATGCTAAATTACCGAGGTGGGGCTTGAATTTGTGATCCTCCTGAGTGCTGGAATGACCGATATGAGCCACCAGCCCTCATCTTTCACCTGGATAATGAGCCCCAGGCTTACTTATTCCCCACTTTTTTTTTTTAAATCAGTACTAGGGATCAAACTCACAACCGCGCACTTGCAAAGCAGGTACTTATGCCGCTGAGCTAAATCCCCAGCCCCTTGCTGTCTTTTGTGCATTGGATTCCTCTGCTTGGAAGACTGCTACTTTTATTCTTGTCACACCTGCCTCCTCTCCCAGCTACTACCATAGTCCAGCTAATTCCCATTCTTTGTGCTTTCACAGTCGCCTCCTTGGGAAAACCCCACTCTTGTCTGGTGGGGTGCTCCTCCTCTCTGCTGGCGGCCCCAGGCTCGAGCATCATGTGCCATCCTATGGTTACTTCCTAGTTACACTTGGACTCACATCACATTTAATAACATTCTGTGTTGCAATTAATTATTGCCATCCTCTTGCTTGACTACAGGTTATATAAAGCTGATTTTACATTTATTTAAGAAATATTTAATGAGCACCTTCTATGTGCCAGGCCCTATAGACCTAACAGTAGCCAAGAAACATAAAGCTAAAAAAAAAAAAAAAAAGATAATGCTCTTTGTTTTTTTGAGACAGGGTTTCACTATACAGTCTAGGCTGATGTCCAACCTAAGGCAATCCTCCTACATCAGCCTACTGAGTGCTAGGATGACAGTTGTATGCCACCACATTGGTTTAAGAAAGATACAGCTTTCTTAAAATTACAGTCTTACTGGGGAAAAGAGCAGTCAGTGAGTAATTGCACAAGTAACTACTGATGGATGTAATCAGTGCTCTAGAGGAAAACTATGCTGAGACTGAGGTGGTCAGTCTCAAGGGGTGAGGCAAGGCTTCCCTAAGGAGCTTCTGCTTAGCTCAACCACTCTTAACCCAAGGGGGAGAATGTTACCGGCAAAAAAACGAACCCGTCCACAGGGAGGAAGCCTAAGCTCAGCATGTCCAATGCATGCTGGGCAGGGACAGGGCTGGGGATGTGTGTGCCACATCAAGATTGAAAACTGGGTCCTAGGACTTAGTCACTGACACAATTAGGCAGCAAGTTGGCACAACTGCCTTTTCTCTTCAAAAGTCACACTCCCAAAGAGGGAGGGAGAGGAGGGAAATGGCTATAAAAAGAATTTAGATGTGTTATGTACATGTAGCAGCTCTGCATAATGAATGTAACCACGTACTGCAAATGTGTACTAATAAAAACATTTTTTTTTTATTATTTTTTTTTTTTTGTCTTTTTCCTTTTTATCGGTACCAGGGATCGAACTCACGACTGCCTGCTTGCAAGGCAGGCACTTATGCCGCTGAGCTAAATCCCCAGCCCCAATAAAAACATTTTTAAAAGAAATGTATATTCTAAATGAGTAAACCATCTGGCATATAAATTATGTCTTAAATTGCTAAAAGTATGTGATATGGGATACTGATGTAAAAAAAAAAAAAAGAGCACTTTTAGGTATATGCCTATAAACCCAGGATTTGGGAGGTTGAGGTAGGAAGATCTCCAGACTTCAAGACCAGCTTAGCCTGAGCTACATAGGAGAGCCAGTCTCAAAAAACAAAAACTGGGCTGGGGATTTAGCTCAGCAGCATAAACGCCTGCCTTGCAAGCAGGCAGTCGTGAGTTAGACCCTGGTACCGATAAAAAGGAAAAAGACCAAAAAAAAAAAAAAACTTGCAATCTTCCTGCCTCAATCTTCCAGAGTGCTGAGACTGTACATATGTGCTAACACGTGTGGCTTCCAAAGTCTACTTTTAAAAAATTGAGTTATGAAGATAGGCACCATGGCACACATCTGTAATCCCAGCACTGAGGGATGCTGAGGCAGGATTGCTGCGGATGGGCAAGTTTTTCTTTTTTTGAGACGGTCTTTCTGTGTAGGCCAGGCTGGCCTCAAATCTGAGATTCTACTGCTTCCGGCTCACAAGTGCTGGGATTCCAGATGTGCAGCATCACACCAGCCCAGATTCTGATAAAAGCAAGTTATTTCTGCCAGTAGCTAGTGATTTTCATGTTATTCTGCATTTCCCTGATGTGCTGCTGAGAGAGTAAGGGAAGTCCTGGGAGCTTCTCTAGGTAACAATAAACACTTAACCGTCTTCATTTTCCTTTAATGACGCCCTTCCTAATCTTCACTGGCGGGGTGAATTCTACCCACGAAACAAGTCTGGGAGCAAATCATATGTACTTGAACAGCATCGTGCTCCTAACAATTTTATATGCTTTGATTGAAAATGTTCTCATTGTAAAATTACAAAATTTTGCCTACACTTTCTTCTAGTTTTTTAATGATCTGATCACCATTCATAATATATTGATTATATGCAGAAAATTCATATGAGATGTTCATACAGGACATTCATATACCTGCTGCAAAGCAAAAGGGGAGAGAATAGATTCTTTCCTATGGGGTTTATGCTTACATTTTGGAACCACTGATGTCACATTCAGTTTCAAAGAATCTTATTTCATTTTTATTATGTAATTTATTTATTTATTTATTTAGAGAAAGGGTCTCACTATGTAGTTCAGGCTAGACTCAAAGTTACTAAGGAGCCCTCAGGCTGGCCTCAAACTTGTAGAGATCCTTCTGTGTCAGCCTCTCAAGTACTAAAACGATAGGCTTGCACCAACATGCCTGACTTTATTTACTTATTTTTTTGGTACCAGGAATTGAACTCAGGATCTTGTGCTTGCCAAGTAGGCATTGTGCCATTGAGCTATATCCCCAGCCCTTTTTTTTTGAGACAGGGTCTTACTATGTACTTCAGGCTGGCCTTGAACTCACTATGTAGCCCAGGTTGACCTCAAATTCACAGCAATCCTTCTGCCTTAGCCTCCAGAGTACTGGTAATACAAGCATGTACCACCATGCCCACCTTTTTTTTTTGTGAGGCACAGTCTCCCTTTTAGCCTAGGCTGGCCTCAAACTCACAGCAATTCTCCTGCTTCAGCCTTTCAAGAACTGGGACTCCAGGGGTGTGCCACTATTCCTGACAATCTTACTATATTTTAAGCAACAAAGTTAAAAAGAAGATTTGGAAAAATGCATTAATTTTGTAGCAAGTATTTTGACATGAAAAGTTTTCCTACTGAAGAAATCATTCAGTAAATAAAAGCTAAGAAATTTCACTGAAATCACAAGACAATTTACAAATCAGTAAGAATAAATAATTGTATCATACAAATCTGGCGCCGTGGAATGGGTCTGAAGACTTCATATTTCCTTTTTGAATCACATTACTGCTGCTAAAGAATCTTTCAACCAAAAGAAGAGTTAAGTAAGTATAGTGTACTAGGTAGTGACAGTCTATAGTAACCTTGATTAAAAGGTAACATTCTGGAGAGCCAGGCATGGTGAAGCATGGCTGTGACCCCAGTGCTGAGAAGGCTAAGGAAGCAGGGTCACCACAAACTTGAGGCCAGCCTAGGTTACATAGTAAGTTCAAGACCAGACTGAACTACATAGCAAGAACCTCTCTCAAAAAACAAAAGTAGAAAAAAACAGTGCATTCTACTTAGTTAGGGTCAATGTTTTCTGAATTACATATATGTAAACTGAGCGTTCATATAAAAATTCACAAAAGTTGGGCCTGGAATACAGCTCAGCAACACAAGTGCCTTACAGGTGAGTACAAGGTCCTGAGTTTGATTTGCAGTACCAAAAAAATGATCATAATCAATAGTTTGAAGCACACTGCACTAGTAGGACATTTACTTAAGGGCAGCAGTAGTGCGATCCAAAAAGGGGGTATGAAACATCTTCAGACCCATGTCAAGGCTCCAGATTTGTTGCATTTCCTGTTAGTGTGATACATACACCAGCAACAGGATGGAAAAACATTCCATAAACTCTTAGATGCTGGATAAATATAAAATATACTTTTAAGACACTTAGCTGAAATTCCAACAAAGGAAGGGACATCTCCAGGAACTAAACATTTCACTATGCAGTTCAGGCTGGCCTTGAGCTTACGTTGTAGCCCAGGCTGGTCTTGAACTCGCAACGATCCTTCTGCCTCAGCCTCCCAACTGCTGGGATTACCAACATGCACTACCACATCCCATAGCTTTTTAATCACTAATTCAATTTCATTATCAGGTTTACTTTGATTTTCTTCCTGAATCAGTCCAGGATTTTGTGTCTTTCTAGGAATTTATCCATTTCATCTAAGTTAGTTGTTGACGGTATTACCTTGTAAGTCCTTTTTATTTTTGCCAGATTGGTAGCAATGTCCTTTCTTTTGCCCCTGATTTTAGTAATTGGTGTTTTCTTTTTTTAGAAATTCATCTAGTTAAATGTCAATTTTGTTAATCTTTTCAAAGAAAAACCATTTTATCTTTTCAAAGAAAAACCATTTTAACTTTTAAATAATTCAGGTGTTTTGGTACAGTTGAGTACACAGTAAGAAAAGAATAAGATTGCACTTTCATGGGTTGATGGAAGCAAAAATTCATTAGTTAAATTAAGAGCAGAGAAAAAATAAAGATTTAGTACTCCTAAAAAAAGACAGTCTTCTATTAGAATGCTGTATGTTGATAAAAATGAACAAAAATTTTAAAATATATTGATTTATAAGGAATTTATTTTGATGCATAGCATTCTCTATTTTCCAAAAGGGACATTTTATGATTTTGATTGTGGCTACTTCTTTTTAATTCATAATCCCCATATTTTTCAAAAGAACTCATAGCTGTCAGTGAAAGTCCTGCTCTTCGTTTTATTGGCCCCCACCAGCCCAAAGTGAAGCAGAATGTAACACCATGGTAATTTGATTACTCTGGCCCTTGGTGTCCTTGGCTGAAGAAATAGACAGCTTCAGCGAGACTCCTGGATAGACAGGCAGATGCTGCCTGAGAAAAAGGTCTCACCATCTCTTTCCCTGAGGGCACTAGGCACATGAACACAATACAGCACAGAGGGTCTTTACTCTCCCTTTATTGGGCAAAGGCACTGAGTGAGGGCCTACCTATGTGATAGAAGCTTCTTCTGGTTTCTTTGTCAGTTGCTAACTTTCATCCCTTGATCATTACCTATCAAGAAAAGGAATGATTCGGGAAAGGCTACCTGTACCCATTTTCGAGGATGACCTAGCAGCTGGGATTACAGCTGTGTACCAACAATGTTGGCCAATTTAGCCTTCTCACTCAACATCTTTAGGGCTTAGCTTCTAATTAATATGATGTCACTGCTTTGTTATTATTTATCCTCTCGGTGTGGGTCCCTCTCCTGAGTCTGATCCTCTCAAAGGAAAGGAACCATTAGGGCCCAAGAATCAAGATCCCTTGCCCAGGTATGGCCCACACCTGTAATCCTAGCACTCAGGAGGCTGAGGCAAGAGGATTGGTGTGAGTTCAAGGCCAGTTTGGGCTACCCAGTGAGTTCAAGGCCAGTCTGAACTACATAGTGAGACCTTGTCTTTTTTTTTTTTTTTTTTTTGTCTTTTTCCTTTTTATCAGTACCGGGGATCGAACTCACGACTGCCTGTTTGCAAGGCAGGCGCTTATGCCACTAAGCTAAATCCCCAGCCCCCAAGACCTTGTCTTAAAACAACAACAACCAAACAAAAAACAACAACAACAAAATTAAGATCCCTGTGCTTCCTATAAGGCAAATTCAGTTCCAGTCCTCTCTCTGCTATCATCTCGTTTGCTGTTTGCTGTTTACTTATTGATTCCAGACAGGGTCCCTCTATGTAGTTCAGGCTGGCCTTCAACTATGTTGCCCAGGAGACCTTAGCCTTGGTCTCAAAGTGATCTTCCTGTCTCAGTCCAGAGTGCTGGGATCACAGTTGTGTGCCACCATGCCTGGTCCTGCTTTGATTTTGTGAACCTTGGGATTTAAATGCCACTTTTTACTGCAATTCTCCTTTGGCATACTTCAAGTTTCCTTTTTTTTTTTTAATTTGCAGTACTCGTGATGGAATCTAAGGCCTTTTAATTTTTTTTTTTTTTTGGAGACAGGGTCTAACTAAATCACTAAACTGCCCAGTTTCAGAGTGCTGGGATTATAGGTGTGTGCCAGGACTAAAGGTATCTTCTCCCATACCCAGTTATTCATCCAGGTATAAATGTAGAACAAAAACAGAGTATACTTTGGCTTAGGAAGTCTCCCAAAGATTCATATGTTAAAAGTTTGGTTGCCAGCCATTTCTATTCAGAAACGGTGGGACCTTTAGGAAGAAGGCCTAATGGGAGGAAGTTAGGTCCTCAAGTTTCACCTTTAAAGGAAATACTGGGAAGCCGGGCCTGTCTTTCTTTTTTTTCCAGCCACCATGAAGGCAACAGGCCTCCTCTGACATGCACATCTGCAATGATGTACTGTGCTGCCACAGTATCAAAGTAACAGTTAAAAAAAAAACTCTGATATGGTGGCACACATGTGATCCCAGCACTGGTGGTAGTGAAGAGGCACTGAGGCAGAAGGATTATTGCAAGCTCGAGACCAACATGGGCTACAAAGTGAGATCAAAGCCAGATTGAACTGCATAGCAAAATTGCTGTCTCAAAAAGACAAAAACAAAAACAAAAAGCAACAGAGCCAAGCAACCAAAAAAACCTTTCCTCCTTATAAGTTGATTATTTCAGGTATTTTGTCACAGTGACAGAAAGCCATTTAACATAGTTTTCGTTGGGCACTTACAAATGCGTTATTCTATCACATTATACAAAGAAGCATCCATGACCTGCTTCTGTCTCCTGCCTTGTTACTTACTTCTATGGGGTAGCAGTCCTAAGGCTCCAGCATTAGTTTGCAAGCAGATGCACAGCTGGCCTGTGTGGGGGACAATCCTGGTGGAAGCCAGCAGACAGGCAACACAGTGTTTCTTTGCAGACAGATGGGGATTAATTTCTATGCCACACAAAGGCATTACTTTTTGTAAATCATGAACAATTCATCCCATGGCATTTGAATGTTGACTTCCACTGATTTAAAATGAAAAATAAACACAGACAAAGCCAAACAAATAGAGATGCAGAGTCATCAACTCTCTATTTTGTTTAGAAACTAGTAAATCTAGGGAAGCATCTGCTAAGACGGTTTATATGTTTTCTCTCCTCTGATTGTAAGGGCAAAAGCAATGGTTTCATCTACCTGTAAATCACTATACTAGGAGGGCAGGGGATTTTACAAATCACAAACTTTATCTAAAATTGAGAATGATGCTGTGATCCAACAGAAAACAACTCTCACTGAAATGCAGTCAGCAGGAAGAATGCCAGGTGACTGGAGCATTTCTGAAATTTTAGTGAGCAGTGTTTCTGTGTCTCTATAGACAGCACAGCAGGGGCTGATCCTGGACAGCTCAGGGCAGCTGCTGACCCATTTCATCAGTGAGATGAAAAACCTGGCAGAGAAAGACCCCTGGGACAGCAGGGTTACTTGAGGAAAAGCACTTCACAAAAGACATTTTAGAATCAGCGTTGCCACATAGTGCTGGCTTCTATCACCTAGCCTAATGTGTGCTCTGCCTCCCTCCAGAACTCCTGTTACACATCCCCTGATCTGAAACATACGGGCCACAGCCCTAGCAGCGCACAAAAGTCAGACAGTTCAAGGTGGCTGCTCACCAGCACCCTCTGGTGACACCTCTCCCCCATATGAAACACTTACGTGTCTTAGCTACAGTCTCCAGACAATCCAAAACCGATTGACTTCTTGAACTGAGGCGTTCCTCAGACTCTTCCACAGATGTCTGTAACTAAGGAACCCAAAGTTAAAAAAGACATCACAGAATACTCATTTATTTTACTAACTTTGGAGTGCTCGCTTCAGCAGCACATATATTTTACTAACTTGGAGAACTGTCATTTAATTTTTAATTAATAAAACAGGGTAGAGGGGCTGGGGATTTAGCTCAGCGGCATGTGTCTGCCTTGTAAGCACGGGGTCGTGAGTTCGATCCCCGGTACCGATTTAAAAAAAAACCAGGGTGGTTAAAATTAAAATCAATACATTATAAATTTTTTGGCTTTTTGTGATACTGGGAATCAAACTCAGGATCTTGCACTTGAGGGCAGGACTTGTGCTGCTAAGCTATATCCCTGGCCTTTTGTATGTTTGTTGGTTTGTTTGTACCAGGAATCAAACTCATGACCTCATGCTTGCTAGGTAAGTACTGTGCCATTGAGCTCTATTCCTGGGCCTTTTGGCTTTTTGAGGCAAGGTTTCACTGTGTAGTTTACCTTGGCCTTAAGTTCACTATGTAGCCCAGGGAGGCTTTGAACTTATTGTGATCTTCTGGCCTCAGCCTCCCAAGTGCTGGAATTACTGGTATGCACCACCAAGCCCAGAAATACACATTTTAATTATCATTATTTTTTTAACCAAAAATCAAACTTGGGACCTTGCGCTTAACAGGCAGGCATTTAAGCCACTGAGCTACATCCCTGGTTACATTTTAATTATTAAAGGTCTTAAGTAAAATGCTCTAAATCCTTGAAATGTAGCTAACTTACCCTCTGAATGCTTTCTCTGACCTGGGAAACGAAGTTGTACAGAGTTTCACTGGAGTTGGAGAAGAAAAAAGGTTTTTTTTGGAAATATTGAAACAACATGTAACAGAGCTGATTCCTTGCACATGGCAAGTGTCCATGGAGGACAGTGTCAGAACAGATCAGAGATGGAACCCAACCCAAAAACCTCAGGGCTTAGAAAGAGACTAAGTGGAACATGAATTGTGACCATTTCCAAGGAAAATCACATTTGAAAAAAATATGTATTATGTATTTTAAATAAGAGTAAATTTTAGCAAGTTTACCGAAGTAGGAAAAACCAGCTTTCATTTTTACAGCAACAATGACTTCAGAAAGCAGTGGTTTCATTCTAATGGTCCAAAGTTCCTGCACACATCTTAGTTTTACCACTATATTGACTATATTACCACTATATTGAAGTTAATATACAAACAGTTCTTTGAGAGTTTTTTTGCTTGTTTGTTTTTGAGACAGGGTCTCACAATATAGTACAGTACATCAATGTATCAATACAATATATTTATGTTTCAATATATGATCCTTCTGCCTCAGATTCCTCTGAGTGCTGAGATTACAGATGTGCGCCACCACACCTGGCCTAATTCTATGATTTCTATCACATCTTTAGGATTTATGCAATAGCTCATCTTTATATAAATAATTAAATATGCTACCTATTAAACCTTTAGAGGCAGCTTTTTGGGTTTTTTTGATACTGGAGATTGAACTCATGACCTCGAGCTTGCCAGGCAGGTAAAGAGGCAGCTTTATAACTTACTACCAAGTCACTAATTTCTCTGATGAACTTCCTTACATAAAAATTAATATAGAACCAAAAAAAATGAATATAGGTGCTGGGTATGGTGGCACAAGTCTGTAACACTAGTACTTGAGAAGCTGAGGCAGGCAGATCATTGCAAATCTGAGCCAGCCTGGGCTACACAGTGAGTTCAAGGCCAGTCCAAACCACATACCAATAACCTGTCTCAATAAATAAATAAATATGGCCATTGCAATTCATTCATATTCTCATTCTCACCTCCCATGCCCCCAGCCATGAGATCTCAGTATGGGCCCCAAGCTGGTCCTGAATTTATGAGCTCAAGTGACCCTTCTGCCTTAGCCTGGGATTACAGGTATGGCAGGAACTGGAACTACAGGTGTGGACCATCATACCTGGTTTAATAGTCCTCATTCATCCCACATTTGCCATGAAAAAAATAATAAATAATATGTAAAAAATTCAGAATACAGCTTACAAATTTCATTGTAATTGGAATTGTAATTACATTTCAAAGTGAGAAAAGCAGCCTGAACTATGACTTAAGAATTTGTGCATTATACTGGCCAGAGGTGTAGTACTTTAGAAGGACTTACCTAACACGAAGGAGCCCCTGAGTTCAGTACCCACCAAAAGAGGAATTCTTAAGTGGTTTTTTTTTTTGAGACAGGGTCTCACTCTGTATTTCAGGCTGGCCTTGAGCTCACTATGTAACCCAGGCTGGCTTCAAACTCGTAGTGATCCTCCTGCCTCAAATTCGCAAGTATTGGGGTTACAGGCATGTGTATCTCTTCTTATCTGTTTCTATTTCTGTCTCTGCCTATAATATATACAAATCTGACTGATTTTGCTTATTTGTTTTTTTTTCAGAACAGAACAATTTAAGCAACACAGTGTTTCACCACAAGACAATCTGACGTAACAGTAGCTACCATAATGTCTCTTTCCTTGAAATATTTGAGTATACCTTGATTTACTATCATATCAAATGTAAAAAGACAGTGTAAAACCATTCAAGAGAATGAAAGTATTACGGGTATTCAGAACCAACTAACAGAAAACGAACAATGGTTACTACATTATCTCCTTGTCTATAAAAAATTTTGTTTATACTCTCACATACAATAAAATCCAATAAGACACAACATGATAAAACCGATGGAGACAGAAGAACATATGCTTGGTGGGATTTCAAAACAAGATGACACTAGATTTTGCTTCTTTGGAGAACTTTTTTTTTTTTTTTTTTTTTTTTCCTGAGACAGGATCTCACTCTGTATTTTAGACTAGCCTTGAGTTTTCTTTGTAGCCTAGGCTGGTTTCAAACTCACAATAGGCTGGATTTAGCTCAGCAGCACAAGTGCCTGCCTGGGAAGTGCAAGGCCGTGAGTTCAATCCCTGGTACCAAAAAAAAAAAAAAAAAAAAGAAAGAAAAACAAAAACTCACAATGATCCTCCTGCCTCAGCCTTCCAAGTGCTGGGATTACAAGCGTGCACCACCATACCCAGCATAGAGAACTCTTTTTTTTCTTTCTTTTTTTTTTTTTTTTCAAACTTTTTATCGGTACCAGGGATCGAACTCAAGACCACCTGCTTGCAAGGCAGGTGCTTATGCCGCTGAGCTAAATCCCCAGCCCCAGCATGGAGAACTCTTAATATATCTATGGTGTTAAAATTGAATTGAATTTATTTTATTTTATCAATACAGGGATCAAACTCATGACTGCCTGCTTGCAAGGCAGGCACTTAAGCCGCTGAGCTAAATCCCCAGCCCCAATTGAATTGATTTTTAAAAAACTGGTTTTGGGACTAAACCCAGAGCTTTGCACTGAGCTACATCCTCAGCTTCGTATTTATTTATCTTTTTTTTTTTTTCTTTGCAGACTGGGGATTGGATCTAGGCCTTCATACTGAACTACATTCCTAGCTCTTTTTATTTTGAAACAGATTCTCTTAAATTACTAAATTGCCTAGCCTGGGCTTGAAACTGCAATCCTCCTGCCTCAGCCTCCCAGAATGCTGGGATTACAGGTATGGGCTCCCTAAATCACTAAGTTACCCAAGCTGGGCCTGAACTTGTGATCCTCCTGCCTCACTCTCCAAAAGTACTGAATTATTTGATTACTGACATTACATTTTGTTCCTTCAGGAAACACAGATTTGCTTATCCATTTGAAAAGTTTCCATACCTGTCACATTTGTCTTTTGCTTTTTTGTTTTTCTCCTCAAATTGTTTCAAAAGGCATTTTGGTTTTCCAACTGGCAAAGGAAGGGAAAATAACCCCCCATCCTTTGCCTCTCCTCCAAAGAGTTGGGGTTTTGTCTGATACTTTGTGAAAATACTAGGTTCACTCTGTTAAATGAAAAAAAAGATACACCATTTTACATATAAAGATTATAGAATTCATTAATTTTTGTATAATGAAGAATCATTTTTATCTGAAAACCATATTGCTAAAATAATATAGCATATATGTTAATTTTTTGTATCCATCAGAAAATAATATAGTAAATCAACCCTTTTTACTAATAAAGTTTCTGTCAGTACAGAGATATTTAATATGTCAGGTAAAGCCAGGTGTGGTAGCACAAACCTATAATCCCAGAACTCTGAGAGACTGAGGCAGGAGGACTGCAAGTTTGAGCTCAGCCTGGGAAAAGAAAGAAGGAAGGAAGGAAGGAAGTAAGGAAAGAAAGAAAGAAAAAGAAAGAAAGAAAGAGGAAAGAAGAAAGAAAAAAGAAGAAAGGAAAGAAGGAGACTTAGAGATATAGCTCAATGTGCAAGGCCCTGGATTCAGTCCCCATACCACCCACACCTATACACACACACACACACACACACACACACACACACACACACACCCCATGCACACACACATACAAAATTAGATAAAATGGCTTGAAATCGGTTGCATAAATTTATAGGCACAAGACAAATTACTTTTCTGAGACAATGTATTAAAGTTTTTATATTAATAGGTTTGATTCAAATTGCTGTTTGCATTTTAATTTGAGATAAGGTTTTGTTAATGTACCCCAGGCCAGCCTCAAACCTGCCTCAGTCCCGAGTTGGAATTATAGGAGGGTACCACCACACCTGGAAAACTGCTTCTTTTTGGTGCTAATAAATTTAAAACCTGCTTGGGGCTGGGGATTTAGCTCAGCAGCATAAGCACCTGCCTTGCAAGCAGGCAGTCGTGAGTTCGATCCCTGGTACCGATAAAAACGAAAAAGACAAAAAAAAAAAAAAAAAATTAAAAACCTGCTGGTAAGTTTGATATGACCTGGGCAGTGAGCAGGGTGTCAGTGATGAGCCATTTCTTGTGATTTGTTGTTTGTTTAAGTGGGTTCTTACTATGTAGCCCAGGCTGATCTTGAACACATGATCCTTCTGACTCAGGCTTCTGGGTGCTTGGTTTATATGCGTGTACCACTATATTGAGCTCATCATTTCCTGCATCTTAGAAAACAACCTGAAACATTCAGCAAATACATCTATTTTTCTTTATGTTGACATAGGAAATTAGGACATGGCAAAACTGGCTGGGAAAGTAGGTGTGACCTGTTAATTACAAGATCCCAGAACACATGCCCTGCACTTCTTAGGGAAATGTGAGCAGTTTTTTAATGGTGAGACCAAGATCTGACATGAGCCTGAGGCCCGGGATCCTACCACTGCCTCTCAGGACCCATACATAAAACTTCTTTTGGGTTTCTTCAAGATTCAGAGTGTATAAAAGGGCACAGATACGAAGAAGAGTTTGCTATTATGACTTTCCTTAGGATAACCTGTCCTGCTTCCTTCAGGGTGTACTTTTATCTTGCTTTTTCTCTTTTATTTGGCCCAAACTCACTTTGCAGAGCCAGTTTCTCCTTCACTCTTCACTTTTACTTTTTCAAATAAACTTTGCCACTTCTTTTGGCTCATTTCATCCAATTCTTTGTTCAATATGAGAAGAACCTAGAATCTAACTCCTGAAAGAGAGGTGGGCAACTCAGAACCTGGTAACCTTTATTTGGTGAACCATTTTCAAAAGGAGCTACCTGGGGCTGGGGATTTAGCTCAGCGGGGTAAGCACCTGCCTTGCAAGCAGGCGGTCGTGAGTTTGATCCCCGGTACCGATAAAAATGAAAAAGACAAAAAAAAAAAAAAAAAAAAAAAGAGAGAGAGAGAGAGAACAGATTGGTCTCAAAAAAGTCAAGGAAGTGGGGCTGGGGATTTAGCTCAGCGGCATAAGCGCCTGCTTTTCAAGGACGTGCTCATGAGTTTGATTCCCGGTACCAATGAAAAAAAAAAGTCAAGAGCTGGGGATTTAGCTCAGCGGCATAAGTGCCTGCCTTGCAAGCAGGCAGTCCTGAGTTCGATCCCCGGTACCGATAAAAAAGGAAAAAGACAAAAAAAAAAAAAAAAAAAAAAAAAAGTCAAGGAAGTGAAAAAAAATCAAAGATTTAGCTAGGCATGAATGCATGGCCATGAAGTTTCATAGAAAACAAAGTCCATCTAAAGGGCTAGGTATATAGTTCAGTGGCATTAATGCCTGCCTGGCAAGTGCAAGGTCCTCAGTTTGATTCCTGGAGCCAAAGGGAAAAAAAATCCACCTAAGATAAAATTTATGCCAGTTAACCCCTATTTTATTTTATTTTATTTTTTATCTTTTTATTGGTACCGGGGATCAAACTCACGACCACCTGCTTGCAAGGCAGGTGCTTATGCCGCTGAGCTAAATCCCCAGCCCCATTAACCCCTATTTTATGTAAACTATTTCCCTTGTGAAATTTTCACAAACTATAGTATGACTAGACTTAGGAAATGATACTCATTTTTCTCTAGAAGCATTCAACAGACCAACAATAGTCTATATTGTTTTGGTAGGAGGATAAACTACAAATTTTTTTTTTCACTTCAGACTACCACATCAAATGGATTGACAATAAAACAACTTATGATTCAGGGTGGTAGTCATTATAAACGTACAATTCTAAAATATATTCCAGGTAGGAATATATTCAGGAGGCTGAGACAAGAGGATCATTGTGAGTTCAAGAGCAGCCTGGGCTACAAAGTGAGTTCAAAGCCAGCCTGAACAGCATAGTGAAAAACTGTCTCAAAAAAAAAAAAAAAATAAAATAAAATAAAATAAAATATATTCCAACAGAATATTCTTCTTCATAGCTTATCTCCATAATAACTATGAAATACATGTAGAGAAATTCTAGAAATCAGACTCACGTCCAGAGAATTTTGGTGCAACTGCTTTGGATGTCTCAAGTGAGCACCTAAGTCTAAGGGTGCTGACAGGGTCTCTGAATTCTCCGGACAAAACTGAGATCCAAAGAGGAACTGGGAATCACTGAGAGCAGAATAATCAGTCTGATTGTTATTATTCCAGTTAGATGACTTAGCGGTCCTGAAATTACGAAAAATAACATATATATATATATATACACACACATAAGTAGGCTAATATCTTGAACAAATATAATTCATAATTCACACTTTCAGAATATTCTGGGCAGAATGCTAGCTTGTTCTGACCTTTAAGACCCCAATGTACTGCCAGTATTACCCACAAATACCCCCCCCACACACACACACCTCACCCCACCCTACCCCCACACTTTTTTGTTTTGCTTTGTTTTGAGACAGGGTCTCTTTATATAGTGCAGGCTGGCCTAAAACCCACAGTGATCCTCCTACTTCAGTCTCTCCAGAGCTGAGAGTACAGGGTGCACAACCACGCCTGGCAGCAGGAAAATTTTAAATGCCACATATTTTTAATATAAAGACCTTGGAACCACCAAATGAAAATTCAAACAGAAAAAACTGACACTATTACTTCTTGTATTGTAGCATTCTGGGCCATAATATCATTCTAGATATTAAAGTTCATAAAAATTTTTAGGAATTAAAAGAATATCTGCTTTTAAAAGATATATTAGTTCATTATTGAGGGACTAGATAGATAAAATATGGAATATACATTTAGTTGCTATAATAGAAACAATAAACTAGAATTATATATAATCACATATTTATGTATGAAAAACAATTTTGTATGTAAACAAATTAAAAATCAAACAAGCTCTATCATATATATTTATATATATATATTTTTTTTGGTATCAGGAAGCAAACTCACAACTTTGTGCTTGCCACACAAGTACTTATACTGCTGAGCTAAATCCGTGGCCCTATCATACATCTTTTATGTGAATTTTTGTTGTTTGAGGAAGGATCTTGTGTAGTACATGCTGGCCTTGAACTTGTGATCCTCTTACCTTAGCCTCCAGATTTAGGCCTGCTCTCCCATGCCCAGCTTATTTTTGTGAATTTTTAAACCAACATTATTTACACTGAACAAATATACTGAGTGTATAGAAGATGAAGGAGAAGGACACACACTAACTTTCTCAAAAGTGTGTGCTTATGCAGAAGGCAATAGGACTGGAGAGAGAGAAGGAACCATTTGGAATAAATGCAAGCTAAGTCTTGCTGTGGGCTGTCGTATCCCCCTCAGATTTATATGTTGAAACCCAACCTTCCCAAAGTGAAGGTATTTAGATGTGGGGCCTTTGGAAAGTACTTAGGTTTAAATGAGATTCTGAGGGTATGATAGGATCAATGTCCTCTTAAAAAAAAAAAAAAGACATCAGATAGCTAAGAAACGCTCAGAATTCCCCCCCCTCACACACTACAGTACACCATGGTTTCTGTCTCAGTTATGAAAAGATACATAATGAAAGAGGTCGGCCTGTAAGCCAGGAATACAGGCCTCATGAGAAACCAACCAAGTTGGTGCCCTGAGCCCAGACTCAGGAACTATGGGAAAATAAATTTCTCACGTTTAGCCTATTTTGTTACAGCAGCCTGAGCAGACAGGCTTTGTCCACAGAGAAGCATATAAACAACTCCACTCTATGCACAGGAATATTTAAGAAAAATATTTTTGAAAACTGGGCATGGTGGTACACACTTGAGATCATAGAACTCAGGAAGCTGAGGCAGGAGGATTGCCAGTTCAAGCTCAACCTAAGCTATATATTGAGATCCTGTCTCAACTATCAAAAACAGAACAAAACAAAATTTTGTTACAGGTGTTATTCCTTTTCATCTTTTAATGTCATGTCTTTTCTTGCTTTAAATATGTGCATCTATGCTTTCCTTGGAGATCTATGCCAGTCTTTTTTTTTTTTAGTGTATATTAGTTATACAGAATAGTGGGTTTCATTTATTATATTTGTACATGAATAAAATATATTTTGATAATTTCTAAATCCCTTTGGCCTTTATGTCAGGGTTTTTTCCTTTTTTTAATACTGGGAATCGAACATAGGACCTAAGATAGTTAAGGCAGGTGCTGCACCACTGAGCTATATCCCTGGCCCCTGTCAGTCTTTAAACATTGGGTATGAAGGAAGGACCACAGGTTTGAGTTCAGCTGGGCAATTTAGAAAGATTTTTTTCAAAAAAGGGGGTGGGGAAGGCCTGGGAGTACAGATTAGTATAAAAGCCTTGGCTCAATCCCTAAAACTGCCAAGAACTTTTTTTTAAAATTTGATGAAAAGATATCCCAGCCTGGTGTGGTGGCACATCCCTGTACTCAGGAGGCCGAGTGAGGTAAGATTACCATGAGTTTGAGACCAGCCTGGGCCACATAGTAAGTTCAAGGCCAACCTGAACTACAAAGTGAGTCCCTGTCTTGAAAATCCAAAATCCAAACCAAAACCAGAGGAGAAAAAAAGGTATCTCAGCCAAGTGACTCACATCTCTAATTTCAGTACTCAGGTTGAGGTAGGAGGATTGCCATGAGTTCAAGGCCAGCCTGGATTACATAATGAGTCCAAGGACTGGGCTGCACAATGAGACAGTCTCAAAAAACAAAACAAAACAAAACAAAACAAAAAAAACCCTAACAAAAAAGGTATCTCAATGGCAATTTCCATTATTTAATGCTATTGAATAACCTGAGAATAAAAGGTTTGCATGAATGATACGGATCTACCTACAAATCACTATTTTCAAATATGTAATTTAAACTAGTATGTAAATACATACTCTAAGTTAAAGAAAAGTTCATTTTATCAATACAAACAAAAAGTCAACATATATTGTTGTAAGCAAATATTAATAAAACTAAAAGAAACTCAATAGTTCAGTACAAAGGCAATTATTTTTACTCATAGAACCTTTTCTTCAGATTAGCTAAATGGGCTTCACATGTATTTTGTAATATGGGTTGCATAATCATGCTCAAAATAGCAAAATTAACTAGGCTAGAAAAAAACTAAAAGTTCCATAAGTCTACTTAAATAATATGAGATTTATGTCTGGAACCAATAACCTGGAATTTGAGGTTTTCTTTTTCTTTCTCTTTTCTTTTTCTTGAGATGGGGTGTCACTGTGCAGTTCAGGCTGGCCTTGAACTCACTATATATAGCACAGGCTGGCCTTGAACTCATGGTGACCCTTCTGCCTCAGCCTCCTAGAGTGCTGGGATTACAGGAATGCACCACTATGCCCAGCTACAACTTGGAATTAAACAAGGATTTTTCTCTAATTTGTATCTCCTGTAAACACTTTTTTCTTTTGGAGAAATAAAGAGAAGGTGTTCTAGGTTTTTATCAATTAATATTTTTCTTCAGAAAAGTGTTAGGGAGGAAAAGAACTACCTAATAATGCCACAAGCATACCAAAAGCAATTAGAATACTCTGAAATGTACACTAGTGGGGGAGTATCCTCCAAATTAGCAGTAACAGACATACTGGAGGTGGACAGACACCAATTAAATTACTCAGAAGGGCAATGGAGTGGGCACTGTCTTTTTTTTTGGAGTGGGCCTTGTCAATAAGTGGCTCTTATCCCCACAACACCTACGCATTCCACTATTCAGTCAGACTCATAAGTGAACACTGATCTGATTTTGCTTTTTACTATTCAGTAGAGTTGCCCAACTGGTGGTCAGATGTTCCGTGTTGGACCATGTATGATTTTCATAGGTATGGTCTGTAAACCTAGTGCTAGAATATATTTATTACTGTTAACACAAAGTGGAAGTGACTCCCTACCAGGAAATGGGCAGAATGAAAATGACAAGCACAGGAAGGACCAGCAATGACATAGAAGATGGAAAAGAGTCAGTATGGGGTATCTGTATTAGTATAAACTAATAGGAAGGCGACCTTTTCTCTGTGACTCTAATTTATTTATTTTATTTTTGAGACAGAGTCTTGCTATGCAGTTCAGAATGACCTTGAGTTTACTTTGTAGCCCAGCAAGGATCCACCTGCCTCAGCCTCCCAAGTACTGGGGTTACAACATGAGTCACCATGCCCAGCAAAAACTTTCTGTGTATGTGTCTTTTTTTTTTTTTTTTTTGGTACTGGAGATCAAACTTAGAATCATCAGCTTGCCAGGTAGGTGCTTGTGCTACTGAACTATATCCCCACCCAGTCTCTATACAATCTTAAGGCCCCCTTCAATAACACAGAACATAACCAGAAAACTTACCCAGAGCCTGAAGGAATACTGAGCATCTCTTTGATATTCCAGACATTAAAGCTCATTTCTTACGATTTTCTCTATGAGAAAGAACACTAATTAAGAAGAATTAAAAAGAAAGAATATTAATTAAGAATGTGTATGCTGTGAATGCTTATAATCCAACTATTCAGGAGGTTGAGGCAGGAGGACTTAAAGTTCAAGGTTAGCATGCCCTACACACCAAGGCCCTATCTCAAATTAATTAAGTTTGGGACAAGGTCTCAGTAAATCATTATTTTACACAGGTTGAGCTTAAACATTAGACCCTGCTGCCTCAGTCTCCCAGAGTACTGGAATTATAGGCATGCACAACTATGATGGGCTGACAAAGAGGTTCTAAACAAGGTCAGCCCTGTATCAAAGTCCTACTGTTTAAAGCACACTATGTTCTGTTTCTTTCTTTCTTTTTTTTGGTACCGGAGATCAAAATCACGACTTCATGCTTGCCAGGCAGGCGCTTATAATGCTAAGCTAAATCCTCAGTCCTCTGTTTCTTAACATTGACTGTTTTAGGTACTTTCCAGGTACTTTTGGTATTTTCCAAGACCAAGCTGTTCTGAATGTCTTCCATTGTTAGTATCAAGGCAATATATTGAAACCATATGGCTAGCTAACTTGCTTGCTTGCATTTTAAAAATTTCTTATTCATTTATTTATTTATTTTTGAGACAGGATCTTGATACGTAGTTCAGGTTGGCTTGAACTCATGTTTTTCTTGCCTCCGCCTCCCAAGTGCTGGGATTAGAGGTGGGCACCTCCACACTCAGCCAAAAGCTTTAAAAGCCACCAGATGAAGGTTCAGATCCTGACTCTTGAATTTATAAACTGAGTGAAGCTAGCCCACTTTTTGGAACCTCAGTTTCTTCATTAAATGAGAACAAAAGGATAATAGCTTTCTTAAAGAACAGAGATAGGAATTCAAGAATATGAACATGAGTGATTCAGTGATGAAGTACCTGTTTAGCATGTGTGAAAGCAACAACAACAAAATAAAACACATAAACACCAGTCAGACATGATAGTGCATGCCTACAATCCCAACATTCTGGGAAACTTGTCAGTTTCAGGAGGCTTGCTAGTTCGTGTTCCACCTGAGCAATTCAGCAATATCTTGTTTTAAAAAACTTTTTAAAAAGAAGCATGGGGCTGGGCATGGTGCCACAGGACTGTAATCCTAGTACTTGAGAGGTTGAGGCAGAAAGATCACGGCAAATTCCAGACCAGCCTGGGCTACAAAGTGAGTTCAAGGTCAGCTCAAACTGCATAATGAGACACTGTGTTAAAAAAAAAAAAAAAAAAAGGCTGGGGATGTGGCTCACTACAAAGGCCCTGGCCTCAATTCCTAGTCTTTCAGAAAAACAAAACCAAACAGTTGGAATGAACACTGGTAATTATTATTAGCCTTTTTAAAATTATTTTCTCAGAGAATGTGGCTTTGCCATTTTCTAATAAATTCATGATCTCTGAGGACTATTCACATTTAATTGCTCTCAATTCAAATGAGTAATTTATACAGACTCTCTCATTCACCTTAGTGTAAATAACATTCCCAGAGGATTGAAACTAAATATCACAGGTTTTTAAGATTTTTTGAGACCTTGTCTCAAAAACAAACAAACAAACAAACAAAAACTAGCTACACGCCTGGTTGGGTGATATATACCTGTAATCCAAACACTCAAGAGGTTGAAGCACAAGGATCACTGTGAGTTCAAGGCCAAACTAGTTTACATAGTGAAAAGGTCTCAAAAAATAAAAACACAAAATAGCAGGATATATTATAATAACCCACTTTGATTTCCTACTAACTTGATTTGAAACCCTGTATTGCTCTTACCATCTTGTTTTTACTGATTTTACTCTATTCTGTTTTGCTTGATAATACCAAGTTTGACAATAAGATTCACTATGATGACTTCCGGGAAAACATGGCGGATAGATAGCAAAGCTACGGAGGTTCTCTGAGATATCCCACTTAAAATCCAGGAATGGTGCAGGGCGAGAAGTCCTAAGCAAGGGGAGATATACCCTGCCGACCCAGGAACGAACTAAACTAAGAGAAACCAACTGGAAATGCAATCCTGGTGCTATAACAGGAACAGATAAGGTCTCAGTGCAGAAGCTGGAGCCTGTGCCACTGGAAGCCGCGATTTGAATTTCCGGCAGCCACTGATGCATCCCAATTGGCACCGAAAGGAGAGAGGTGCAAAAGCTCTGAGAGTGGGAAGTGGCGAATGGAGTTGAAAGTGGGACTGGCCAGGAGCCCTACATCGACCTGCAGTGAGTGAGCAGATTGGGCACCCTTCCATAGAGTAGGAGGCTTCAGCAAAGGACATACTAGGACCAGGAAGACTAGCTGGAACAGGATGCTGCAGTGTCCTTAGTCGCATATTCCCCTCAAGCAGGATTGGTGGGGAGTGCCTGGCCTGGGTGTCAGCGCTGACTTAAGACCCAGTAGGCTAGCCCAAACCAGGTCCCAGCCCCTGGAGGTGCACCCTAGCAGTGAAGCCTTCAGTAGGTTTACCTGGAGGGGTGCGCCAAGCATAGGCTACCCAGGTCTGTGTCTCCCTAGTACACTGCAGTGGGCAGGAACACCTAGCCTGTGCAATTCAAACAAACTGTAACCGACAAAGAAAGAAACTGGGCCTCCTACATACACTTGTATGGAAGGAACAAAAAATATGCGAAGAGGGAGCAACAAGAAAGGGTCCTTGGTCCCCAATCCTGAGAAACATGCAATATCAGACACAGCACCAATAGACATAAAGCATTATCTCCAGAGCCTCATAGACCAGTTTAAAAATGAAGTTATTAATGACCTAAAGCAAGATATAAATAGAATAGTTAGGGAAATGCTAAGCACCACCCAAGAAAAAACAGATAGTGGAATAGAAGAACAGAAAAAAAGGGGAGAATTGTTTGATGGAGAAAATAGAGAAAACATAGAATACGTGAAGCAGGTTCAAAGAGATTACTGGGAAACTAAAAACTCTATCAAAAGCTGGCATAACAGCTTGAAAGAAACTAAGGATAGATTATCTGAACTGGAGGGCAGATTTGTAATGTTGGAGCATAAAATGAAAAACTTCTTTAAAATAACAAGAAAACAAACAACAATAATACAAAGGCTAGAAGATGGTAAGAGGATCTATAACTTAAGAATTAAGAACATAAAAGAAATAGGGACACAAACAAATGGACTACAAAAGCTATTCACAGAAATAATCCAAGAGAATTTCCCTAATTTAGCAAAAGGTAAAGATACTCAGATGTATGAGGCATACAGGCCCCAACCACCTACAACCCAAACAGAGCTACACCCAGGTATATAATAATCAAAATTCCAGAAATCCAATATAAGAACAGAATATTAAAAGCCATCAGAGACAAGAAACAGATCACTTACAAGGGAACACCCATCAGAATTACAGCAGACTTCTTGGCACAAACCATCAAATCATGAAGAGTGTGGGGGGAAATAATTCAAGCTTTGAAAGATAATAACCTCCAGCCAAGATTGATATAGCCTGCACAATTGTCCCTGGAAATTGATGGAAAAACAAAGTGCTTCCAGGATAAAGAGGAACTAGGGGAATTTGCAACCACTAATTCAACTCTACAGAGAATACTGCAGGATATTCTAAAAAAGGAAAATACCAAGATTCCAGAAATAGTGGCAGAGAGGCCACAATGAATGGAGCAGAAAGAGAAATGAAGAAGACAAACTGACAACAAACAACAGAAAAAGAGCTCAACAGAAATGAGGCAGAGAAGATTAGAAGGTAGGAACAGCTATTTTGGAGAAAACAAGACATCATAATAGCTAGTGCTGATTTAGTATCATCTTGTTTTGAAGTCCCATCAAGCTTTTATTCTTCTATCTCCATCGGTCTTAACAGGTTGTATCTTATAGGATTTTATTATATGTGATAATATAAGCAAAAACTTTTATAGACAAGGAGATTATACAGAAACCATTGTTCATTTTCTGTTAGTTGGCTCTAAATACCCTGTCATAATGTCATTCTCTTGAATGGTTTTACATTGTCTGGATATGTTTGGTGCTACAGTATACGAAGTTATACTCAAAGATTTCAAGGAAAGAGACACTATGGTAACCTACTTTTATGTCAGGATATCTTTTTTTTCTTCTTCTTCTTTTTTTTGCGGTACCAGGGATTGAACTCATGAACTCGCACTTGCCAGGCAGGCGCTTATGCCACTGAGCTAAACCTCTGGCCCTTATGTCAGGATATCTTGTGGTGAAACACTATTTTGCTTAAATGACCTGCACTGTTTTGTTGTTATGCCCTCTTTTATCTCAATCTCCTTTTTTAAGTTATTTACTTTTTTATTTTTATCTTTTTAATTAAGGGAAAAATAAATTAAAAATAGCAGGAAACATTATAGTAATCTACTTTGATTTCCTATTAACTTGATTTGAAACCTTGTATTGCCCTCACCATCTTATTTTGACTGATTTTTCCCTATTTTGCTTAGCTTGATAGTACCAAGTTCGAAAGTATAGACAACAACTGTGAAGACAATAAGATTCATTATCACGCCCATTCTGGTTGACTATTATCTTCTTTTAAAGTCCTGTTATGTCTCCAATGTTTTGGTTTTATTCTTTACTGTTTTGTTCAATTTTATTATAACTGATGATATAGGCAATTCTTCTTAAGATAGCAAGAGGCAGTATGGTAACTATTGTTGATCACCTTGTATTTTGTTTTTACATTATCTATTATGTCCATCGTTTTGATTTGACTGACTCTGTTCTGATATGTCACATTTGGTTTTACTCTCTTCAAAAAAAGTAATAAGAACTGTGAGAGTAATAAAACCCAAAATGTGTAATTGTCATTGTAAAAAAGAGAGGAAAAGAAAGTGCTCTAAAGGATATAACTGCATGTGTATTTAAGCGTATAAGATAGATAACCATATTACTGAGTTTTTGTTGGATCATTGAACAGAACTGTTTGCAGTCTCACTGTTTGAATGTCTACTTTATATGCTTTAATTTTGTAACTTGAATAACTATTTCTAAGACAACAATATGTAACTATTAACTAGTGATTTCCTACTGTTTATTTTTTTTGAAATTCTGTATTACTTGTACCCTTTTTGTTTTTTTTCTTTTTCTCCTTAAATAAAATGAAAAAAAAAATACACAAATATACACACAAAACAGACATATGTGCACACATACACAAACGCACACATGAAAGGTCGGATTCTATCAAACATTTAACGAAATTATTATGTTTTTCTTACAGGGTCTTGCTATGCAGTTCAGGCCGGCCTTGAACTCATAGTGATCCTCTTGCCTCATACTCCCTGAGTACTGGGATTACAGGTGTGCTGCGCCTAGCCTATGATAATTCTTTACAATCCATTCCAATAAACAGAGTCAGAAAAAACATTTCCTAAATCATTCTAAGAGGCCAGTATTCTACCAAACTATGCAGCAACATTACAGGAAAATCACAGACATTCAAAGTCCTTAACAAAATACAAGCAAGTAGAATCATTTATTCTACTTTATAAATCATTTAGATTTATAAAAAGAATCATATAGCTCAACAAAGTGGGATTTATTTCAAGCACTCAAGGCTGTTTCAACATTCAAAAACCAATTAATATAATCCACATCAATAGGAGAAAGGGGCAACCCATGCGGAGCCCTCCTTTCTCTCAGGACTTATTCCTGTTCCCTATTCCCCCATTCCTATTCTCCATTTCTTTTCTTTAATAAATTTTCCTACTCTTAATGTCTGCTGTTCCTTAAAATTCATTTTTCTACTTCAGGGGACATAAACTCAATATATCTGACATCTAGCATACCCCCTATGCATCTTGGAGAACACATGAGGTATCTGGAAGGAAAGGCAGCTAGACTCTAAGAGATCATGCAGATGGAACCAACAACAAATGTGCTAGGCTCCTTTCCCAGGATCCACCAGATTAAACTTGTAAAGGGTTCATAATTGCTAAACTACAGTATGACTTCTAAGGCCCATTAGATTAGCTCTCTGGAGAAGGTCCCTGACTATAGTTTCCACTATAATGACCGTTCTCAGCTCAAAACAGTTAGAAGGAAATGATAGCCCCTCTCCCCTAACCACAGTTAGGGACACCCCTTCAGAAGGGAAAATATTATAAACAGCTAAATTAGGTGGAAATACAGTCAGATAGGGCCTGCCCTGAGGAAGTAAGTACAAAAGATGAGAATGCATTAGGACTGTGGCTGGAAGGGCATCTGAAGATTAAAGCTGTAATGGCTAGTTCTACACACTTACCCCTAAGGGTTGAACCTGGAGGTTTGGGGTTATTGGTAACAGCCTTTTGAGAATTCCCACTATTTTATAAGGAGTGGGCCATCCTCTCCTACCAACTAAGACTGAGACTAACACTACTAAGACTGAAGATAAGACTAAATTATAGATTATCCACCAATGTTAAGGATGTCACCCATGAATCCTTGCTACTATTACATCAATGTTACCTGAGCAACTATGCTTGCAATATTATTGGTTGATCATAATTTTGAGTCACATTGTACTCACCTCAGATTTTGTTCTATGAAACTTCCTCTGAAGGGGCTAGGGATTTAGCTCAGCAGCATAAGCACCTGTCTTGCAAGCAGGTGGTCGTGAGTTCGATCCCTGGTACCGATAAAAAGGAAAAAAGACAAAAAAAGAAACTTCCTCTGAGAGGTGGGCTTGTTGGCAACCCCTCCTATCTCTCAGAAGCTATTTCCCCAATCCTATTCCCCATTCCTTTTCTCCAATAAATTTTCCTACTCTTAAAAAAAGAAGAAAAATCATACAATCATATCAATTGTTGCTGAAAAAGCGTTTGACAAAATTCAACACTAAGTCATAATAGAAAGTCATAGGAAACTAGTAAGAAAGGGGAACTTCAGCTTGATGAAAAACATCCACGACAAACCTAGAGCTCACACTGCTCACTTGCTTGTTTGAGATGCAGGAACTTCCAACTTGCTGTGTAGCTCAGCCTGATACTGACCCCGCCATCCTGCTGACATTGTACTTACGGTGCCACCATACCCAGCTTGACATTGTACTTACAGTGAGGAACTAGATGCTATCCTGCTAAGATCAGGAATAAGGCAGGCTTAAATAAAAGAAACAAAAATAAATAAATAAAAGATACACATACTGGGAAGGAAGAAAGAAAACTATCTTTTATGTTGAAAATAAAAGAATCAAGAAAATATTCCTAGAACTGATAAGTGATTATAGCAAGGTTACAGGACAAAAAGAATATGAAGTCACAGCTGGGTGTGGTGGCTCACACATGTACTCCCAGCACTTGGGAGGCTGAGGCAGAAGGACTGCTGCAAGTTCAAGGCCAGCCTGAACTGCAGAGTGAGACCCTGTCTCAAAAAAAAAAAAATACAAAGTCATTTACTTCTTACATACTAGTATGAATAAACACAATTAGAAATTAAATACAGCAACACATATATTAGCACCCCCCCAAAAAACATATGTAACTTCTGTTGTGGGTTTTTTTTTTTTGTACCCAGATCAAACTCATGACCACACACTTGCAACGTAGGCAGTTATGCCACTGAGGTAAATTCCCAGCCCTTCTTCTCTGTTTTTTGAGACAGGGTCTTGCTATGTAGTTCAGGCTGGTCTTGAACTCACTATGTAGCCTAGGTTGGCTTCAAACTTGCTGCAATCCTCCTGCCTCAGCCTCCCAAGAGCTGAGATTACAAGCATGCACCACCATAGCTGGCTACTTAAGTATAAATCTTACAAAATTTCCATCAAGGCTGGATGTGGTGGCATACACCTGAGATTCCAGCACTGGGGAGGCTGAGGCAAGAGGACTGCCACAAATTCAAAGCCAGCCTGGGCTGCATAGTGAGTTAAGTCTAGCCTAAACTACATAGTGAGATTCTGTCTCAAAAAAAAAAAAAAGAAAGAAAAGAAAAAGCATCAGATACATGTGAGGAAAACTATAAAATGCTGATGATATAAATCAAAGAAAAACTAACATGTGGAGACTTGTATTGATGAACAAGAAGATTCAAAATTACTGACAGATCATTTCTTCCCAATCCGATCTACAAATTCAGTGCAATTCTGATAAAAAGAATTCTAGCAAATTAGTTTGTGGATATCATTGATTCTACAGTTCCTGTAAAGAGACAAGAGGCCAAAACAGGCAATCCCTGTGACCCATTTCAATGTCTTCTCTATAATCAGAGGTATGGTAACCCTGAATCAGATTATATCCTCCCTTTCCTCAGACTCTCAACCCCTCTACCCTACTGAAAATACAACCCAGAGTTCTCACAATTCCAGGGTATTCTGCCATCCGCCCTAACCTTGCCCCTTTTTCATCTACACCTCTCTCCATACCTTTCCTTAGCTCCTTCCTGTGCTGAGCACACACTGGTTTCACGTCCCTGTGTACGCAGCGCCCTTGATTTGGTACACTTCTTTGTCAACTATCAGCATCACAGGTCACCCCACTTTTTTCAGGTGTTCTCTTAAATTATGACTCTCTTGCTTTATTTATTTATTTATTTTTGTCTTTTTCCTTTTTATCGGTACCGGGGATTGAACTCACGACTGCCTGCTTGCAAGGCAGGCGCTTATGCCACTGAGCTAAATCCCCAGCCCCTCTTGCTTTATTTTTTTCCACAGCAAATTATCATTCCAACACAGTATATACAGTATCTTATTAATTTATCTTTGCCTTCTGTCACTGTACACATATCCATGCTTACTAGAATATAATATTAGGCTCTTTCAGGATACGGCTGCTTTTTTCTTCACTGCTTTATCTTCCAGAAGCTAGAAATCATGTCAGGCACATATCAGAAAACAGTTAGCTTTAAGTGAGTAAAAAACTTGGGAATTAGATTAGAACAAGAGAAACAATGGAGCAAACTACCTAAAATTTAAAGCATACAAGGCTTTTTTTGATACTGGACATTGAACCCAGGGCTAAGCAGGTACTTTCCCATTGGCCTACACCCAATTACATTCTAAATCCTTGGATCAGTACTGACTTCTTACAGGCACTACCATTCACACCTATAGTTCCCAGAAACCCAGCAGGTTGAGTTGAGCTCAGGATCACAGGAGTTCCAGGCCAGCCTGGGCAATATAGCAAGATCTCATATCAAAAATAAAAAGCCAGGTGTAATGGCACGTGCCTGTAATCCCAGGACCCTGGGAGATTCAGACAGGAGGATCACAAGTTCAAAATCAGCTTGCATTATACAGTGAGACCCCTCTCTCAAAAGCAAAAAAAAAGTCCATTGTTTAATGTCATTATTCTATACCTAGATTAATATGTCTATCCTCTATCACCTTTCATATCTGTTTATGTTGCCAAAGGAGAGTAATTTATAGTCCATGACTTGGGCATTAGACAATAATAGTTTCCTCTTATCCCAATGGGTTATTTTCTTAGACTTTTAGCAGATTGCTGAAAAAACATATCATACCAAGCCCTATAATATACTGCCTTTTCCATCTTACCACCTAACTATAACTTTTGCATTTTAAGGAATGACAGTAATAATTAATGTAAGTTGCTTTTATTTTCTTCACAATTTAATGGATAAAAGTTTTCTTATCATGGATCTTAGCAACCTCAGAAATACAATTTTTTTTCTTAAATTGGAAACTGTCATCTTGGCACTTTTTTTTTTTTTTTATCTTTTTGAGACAGAGTTTTGCTATGCAGTTCAGGCTGACCTTGATCTCACTTCACTGGCCTCAGATTCACAGTGATCCTTCTGTTTCAGTCTTCTGAGTGCTGAGAATACAGTTCCATATCACCAGACCCAGTTGGATCATCTTGGCACTTTCAAGGAGCACTTTAAAATTTTTCTTTGTATATCTCAATTCCCAACATTATTATGCTTGCACTCTGTGACCATTACCAAGTGAAATAAGGGTTACTTGATCACAAGCACTTAGATAATATGACAGTTTATCTAATAACCAAAGGAACTCGGATAAAGTGATTAGTGGGTGGGTATCACATACAGTTTAGATACCCTGGACAAAACAATGATTTGTGCTGCCCAGGACACAAGCTGAAGCAGGACAGCAGGAGATTTTATCATGATATTTTGAATGGCACATACTTCACACGAATTGCTAATTTTGGAATTTTCCATTTAATATTTTTGGGTTGCGATAACCATGGGTAAATGAAGCTACAGAAAGCAATGGATAAGGGAGGAATACTGCTAACCAGAGTTTAAGAATCTAACCTATTTTTAGGATTTTGAGTCTCACTATGTAGCTTAGGTTGGCCTTGAACTCACTATGTAGCACAAAATAGGCTCAAATTCCTGACTACTTCTTTGCCTCAGCCTCCTGAGTGCTTAAATTATAAGCTTATACCATCACCCTCAACTCTTAGGAAGCTTTTTGGGGGGGATGGAGGGGCAGTTGGGATAGGGTCCCCTCCAACTATGTAGAGCAAGCTAGCCTCAAACTCACAGTGACCCTCCTGCTTCAGCTTCCCTAATGCTCGGATCACAAGTGTGCACCACCACACTAGACTCTTAGGAAGATCTTTGAAAGAAATCGTAATTATACCCTCAATTTTCTTTTTTTTTCTTTCTTTTTTTTTTTTTTTTTTGTCTTTTTCCTTTTTATCGGTACCAGGGATCCAACTCATGACTGCCTGCTTGCAAGGCAGGCGCTTATGCCGCTGAGCTAAATCTCCAGCCCCTATACCCTCATTTTTAAACCAACTGTGATAAGTACTCTTCCCTTCACGAAGGAGTGTCCAGGGCTTAATGGACTCTGGCTCATGTTGTTTTTGAGCGTGTAGCTAATTCACGCTACCTGAGGGAATTTTCACTTCCGGTTGAACCGGAAGTACCATCTACTTAAATCCCCTCAGAGGGCACATGTCTCATCCCTCCTCCCAAGATGAAGGACGATTTAAACACTGCACTCACACCCAGCAGGGGAGGGCTCTCCTTCCATTTCCTGCCCAGGCCCCGCTAAAGGAAGGTGAGAGGAGCTGGTAGGTGCCTTGTAGGCAGGGGGTAGGTGAGGGCACGGCCTGCACCCACTCCACGTCCTCTTGAGGCTGGGACTGATACCTCAGGAGTCCCGCTTCTCCACTGAAGGAAAAGCAGCTCCTCCTCATTTCGTGGTCCCATTAACTCTACTCAAACTGCAGCTTCAAAAAAGAAGAGGACGTGGTCCCTAATGCCTAAATTCCTGGAAATGCCTCGAGGTCCCCAGAAATGCCTCGCCTGTTCCCCAAGGCCCTGTTTGGCTCCCCAACTTTTCCACTCGGTTTCCGGGCCTCTCCCCACATTCTGTGAGCCCCCACCTCCACTGGTCCTCACGTGCCAACCTGGAGTCACCTTGTTGGATCGTCCTTCCAGAATTCCCGCCTTGTCAGTGGAGACTATCTAGGCATGCGCAGCCCCGCCTCTAGGCTCACAGTGACCAATGAGATTCCGCCCCCTCCACGGTGCGCGGTTAAAAGTTTTTAAAATTCGGGGCTGGGGATTTAGCTCAGTGGCATAAGTGCCTGCCTTGCAAGCAGGCAGTCGTGAGTTCGATCCCTGGTACCGATAAAAAGGGAAAAGACCAAAAAAAAAAAAAAAGTTTTTAAAATTCCTAACAGTCCGCTGTGGTTACCCAGCACTTTTGTAGCCTAGCTGTCCCCACTGCAATGTAAGCCGCACCCAGCTGCGCAGCACAGTCCTCATTCATCACCTAGTATTTGCGTAAAATGGAGTCTCTGCCACCTAGATATGACAATGCTGTGGAAGGGCAGCGA